AGGCCATGGGAGCAGGGGAGACCAGCCCTGGCAGGGTGCAGGATGTAAGCTGCATCTGGGCCAGAGGGAAGGTGTGCAGGGATGTCACCCCAGGAATCAAGGAGATGGCCTTCCCCAAAGCCCAGACCATCAGGCTAAGCCTCTCACGCCTGGAGCCCAAAGGTCTTCCCAAATGGGCCTTGCAGGGGAGGGGAGAGCAGGGCTCCACGGACAGGGCTGGCCAGTTGGAGGCCTGTGGGGAAGATTTATGGAGGATTATCAGGGTTTGGCTCTGGGGGTTGAGACAGTGGGCAGGGAGTTGGGTGGCTCCTTAAGACACCCTGACTGGGAGTGAAGGCAGGAGAATTAATCTGTTTTTCTGTGATTAGCTGGGGTTTGACGTCACAGATGGGATTTAGTGGTGAGGCTGTGCAGACACGAAGGATGGAACCCATCCAAACAGTTCAGCAGCATTCCATTAAGTCTGGATGGTGCTCGAAACCAGGCCAGTGGTAGCCTTGACTTTGGCAGCAGTGGGGAGAGTGGTGGTGGGGAAGAAAGGGAGTCACGTTTGATAGGAGGCCCTGGTACTCAGGGTGTCTATCCTCTACTCCACAAGCCTACTAGTCCCCAAGCAGGACCTGAGGAAGGTAAAGGTATGAAGGCTGCCCCACCCCCATACCTGCCCCTCCATCCATCTGTATCTAGAGGTTAAGGGGAGGTGAGAAGGCCACTGCAGAGCACAGGGGAAAAGCAGCTTTAGGCCTGGGCTAAGGTTGTGTGGTTGCTCTGGATATGTGTATGAGGTCAATACTGACCAGCAGTCTCTAAGTAGGAGAGAACATGTCCTTGCTGAGTCCCCTAGTCCCTCAGAGTACTACACATTCACCTGTCAGATGCTGGGCTCCCCACAGGCTTCGTTTCAGGAACATACATCTGGGCTAAGGAAGAAGGACACAGCTCCACCAACCTTCTCCTTACAAATGAGAAGACCGAGGTTGAAGAGGGAGCATGATGAGTTTTTCTCCTCCCTAGCCACCCTACCATCCTGGGCAGGGCCCCTTTAAACAGGATGCAGCCCTCTCCTGCCCTGGCCTGAGAACTGAAGGGAGGCCAAAGGGAACCCCAAATCCCTGGGCACTGCTGCAGTAGCCTCAAGTCTCACAGAAGGCCATAAATCTCACCATTATGCTGGGGTGATTGCCAAGCCACTGTGGGACTCGTCACTGGACCCCATGGCCCAGCAGCCAGCTGGGGGCACCACAAAGGTTCAAAGCTCTGCAGGGCATCTCACTTGTGACACTCCAGGACGCCCTGGGAGGCCGCCAATGCAGAAGCCAACAGCCCGGAGAAGGTGGCATCCTGCTCAAGGACAGCCACCTGCCAGGGGCACCCCGTTTTTATGACTTTGTATCTCTAGTGTGGCTGCCAGCCTTGTTACCTTGACTGGTGGACAAGAGCAGAGGAGGCCTGTGTGTGAGGAAATGACACTGAAACCTAAAGTCAAGGGCCAGGGACTTGCTGGATCTACCCTACTCAGGCCTCTGGAGACTGCCACCATCACACTGGCTTGCAGGGTTGGCTCCTCTGTTAAACACAGCATGGTCAAAATGAAGCTGGGTCCATCACAAAAAGCCCTGGGAAGCTCAGAAATGACAAGACAAACACAAACCCAAAGGGGCCCTGGGGTTTGTTTGGGAATCCCCCATTCTTACTCCTGTTCCCTCCCCAGGACCCCACCACTTAAGCAGCAGCACACAGATCCTCCTATATCAGACACGATAGCCTCCCAGGAGGCCGCTGGCCCAAGAAATGATCCTCCTCCAAGGAACAAAACCCCCAGTACCTGGGCTTTCAGGAGGGAGGACTCACATGCTCTAGGAGTGTCTCCAGGGCAGGAGGGTAGGGGGGCTTTTCAGGGAGTTGCTGTACCGAAAACACCGCCCAAAGCCCCCCAGGGAAAACCAAGCCTTAGAGAAGTACACCAGCATATCAATTACTGGGATTTTTACTAGCGGCTTTTTGCTCCAAAGCGGGCAGAAAGCCCTGATGTGACTATGATGTATGATGACACTAACACCTGCTAAATGTCAGCAGCAGTCACTGTACCATCTGGGACATGAACTCTGGGTCAGCCTTGCTCAAGGGTTTGAGGAGATACCTCAGGAGGGCCCAGCTCCTGCAATCCAACTACATCCATCCAGTTCTGTACTTTCCACTCTGGATTTCATGCCTTTTCTCTTCTCTTCTCTTCTCTCTCTCTCTCTCTCTCTCTCTCTCTCTCTCTCTCTCTCTCTCTGGTGCTGCATTTGAACGTGGCCTTGAGGCTGCTAGCCAAGCTCTCCAACACTTGAGCAAGAAGTTCCCAGCTCTTTTTGCTTTACTTGTTTTTTCAGATAAGGACCCACATTTTTTTGCCTGGGCTATGCATGATCCTCCTACTTACACCTTCTGCATAGCTGAGATAACAGGTGTGTACCACCATGCCCAGCTTTTTTGTTGAGAAGGAGTTTCCTTAACTTTTTATGCAGGCTAGTCTTGAACCTTGATCTTCCTAATCTCCATCTCCTGAGGAGCTGGGATTACAGCTGTAAACCACCGTGCCCAGTGATCTTATCTCCTTAAACTCCCTTCATTAAATTGGACCAACCCACTGCATCAAGTCTACCTGCTGCCCTTACAAGTGGGCATCTCTGCTGCCATTAAAGGCCAACTCTGGCACTGGGCCCATTCCTTCTTGTCATTCAGGAACGTTTTCCCATAGTGATCCCCTCTCTCTGGCAGTTTTTACCACTCTGCTGAAGACCCCCCATTAGCATTCAAGCATGACAACAGCTCCCAAATTTGCAAAAACAAAATCAAGCAAAAGCCCCCAGCCACACTAAACCTGATGTCCTCAGTATCAAATCCTCCAGAAAGTCATTTCCACTCTTACTGGTGCACCAATCTTTGTCCAACTCACTTTGGGCCCCCACTCCACTGAAATTGCATCTGTAAGGACACCAATGACCATGACCTCCCTTCAATTAAAGCGGTGGCAGATCCTCATCAGATTCCACCTTTCCTTAAGTGCTGCATTTAACAGACAGAGGGCTGCTGCAGGTGTCCCATGGCTTGTAGGCAGGTAGGCATATCCCTGAAGTATGATTCTGCCAGAAAACTTCTTTCCTTATTTGGTCAAAACACCCATGAATTAACCTCTGCCTGGAGCACACTGTGTGCAAGATTCCAGCCTGAGGCTCTCAGCTAACTCATTCAGGGGCCCATCAATTATCAGCTGGTGCTATGAGACCTGCAGATGGCCCTGGGAGGCTAGCCTCAGTCTAGGGAGGCACAAATATCATGGTGGAGTTCTAGGAACCAGGGTCCCCACGTCCTGCCTCTTAAGTTCTCCCTGCTCATGGGACCAGGAAGGCATCTGGCCCTATATCCTGAGTCTCATGGCTATCAGGGTGTAGGCCCAGTGGATAGGCCTTACAGTGAGAGCACTGGAGCCCTTTAGCACCAGGAAACTGCCCGCAGCTCCCCAGCTGGAATCATCCACAGTGTTCCTTAAAAGACAGATTCCAGAACAGCCAGAGCAACCCAGGGGTTCCAACTCAGTCTCCACTTCCCCACCCCAATTATTTATGCTACTGTGAAGAGAATAGAAGAGAAAGCACAAAGCCATCCATCCCAACTCCCCTGGGGATATCACCAGGATGAAGGCTACCTCCTGAAGGCTGCACCAGGATCTCCTCAAACACCATGACTGGCAGCCCTACCCTTCAGCTGCACACCTGGAGAACCAGGTGGTGCCTTGGTGTATAAATCTCTTCAATTATTTTACATGCTCAAATTGTAAAAACTAATCCTCAGTGCTACCTTGAGTTATATGTACTGTCCCTGTCAATTTACTTACTTAATGGAGATATAATTCATATACTGGAGTTCACCCTCTTAAAGTAGTGTTTAGTGCACTTAGATTGTGCAACTATCTCCACTAATTCCAGAATGTTTTCTTTACCCACAAAGAAGCTCCATATTCATTAGCAGTCACTCCTATCACCACATCCAATCCTACCCCCTTCTTCCCATGGCACATACTAGTCTACTTTGTCTCTATGGATTTGTCTACTTGGGACATTTCCTGTAAACAGAATCATAGAGTTATGTGGCCGATTGTGTCTGGCTTCTTTCGCTCAGAATCATGTTTTCAAGTTGATGTAGCACGTGACGGTGCTTCACTCCTTTTTATGGCTGAGTCATATTGTACTACGTGGCTGTAGGAGACCGTGGCTTTCTGTCATTAAAGTACCTCACCCCAATCACTTGGTAGGTAGAGGAGTCAGGCGTATCTACTGTCCAGCCAGCTTAAGAACAAACAGCTTAAGAACTGAGCCATCATGCTCTCAATTTGTCTCCATTTGTATAGACATAGCCCCTAACATAGAGAATAGCATTACATGACTCACAAACACTCTTAGCCTTTTCAAAACAATCTTCCAGAGTGGAAAAGGTAAGGTGTCCCCATTCTGAAAGGAATCAAGACCAAAATTGCAGTGGTATGCATTTAGGATGAATGGCAGCTGCATCCAAATCTGTATGTCACATAAGGCAACAGAGCAGCTTCAGTGCTTTCCAGACACATGATTTAAGGAAATAATTATTGGTTTTTTTCTTTCAGATTGTTTTGTAGCGAGGGCAATCCTTTGGGCTGAGGGAAAGCCCTAATTAAGTCCCATCAAAGAGGGGTTGTTGGTTTTATTGTAATGTTTCCGACTGATGCTAGAAATAAAGTTGTCACCTCTTTCCAAATACAGGCTCCTTGTTTAGCCCAAACCGGCTGCATTTTAAAGGCAGTCTGGGAATATGTCTTTAATACACTCCCTAGGCAGCAGGTATGAAGGGAAACATGTTCCTGGATGCCAAAGCAGTATAGCTGGGCAAATAAGGTCTCATCTGATCCCCCAACCTCATCTCCCTGCAAGAACCCATGTCCCTCAGTCAGTCTGAACTTTGTGCTTCTCGCCAATACTCACTAGACACTTGCTAGGATCCAGGCTCTGTGATGGGCAGTGAGGGTTCAGGGAACCAAGATGGAGTCCTCAGGGAGCCTCCAGGTTACTGGGAAGACAGATATCCGTGAGTCAAAGCCTGACAGGAAATATCATTCAGCCTTAAAGATGAACCTTAACGGTATTATGGTAAGTGAAAAACACAAGTCCATGCCAGGTGTGGTGGTTCAGGCCTGGGTCTTAGTTCCAGGACTAAGGAGGCCAAGGCAGGAGGATCACAAGTTTGAGGCCAGCCTGGACTACATAATGAGACCCTTTGTCAGAGAGGGGGAGAAAGGAGGAGAGAGAGAGAGAAAGAAAAAGAGAGAGAGAGAGAGAGAGAGAGAGAGAGAGAGAGAGAGAGAGAGAGAGAAAGAGGTACTGGATGATTCCATTTACATGAGGTGTATGCAGTCAGAGCCATAGTGGCAGAAAGTGGCACTGTGGCCATGGGACAGAGCTTCACCTTGGGAGGGGGAAGCTCTTAATGCCACAGAACTGAGCATGAAACATAGTCAACAAGATAAACTGTAGGTTATGTAGTTTTGTTAAAAAATAAAAGCTGGGAGGGGGTGGGGGCAGGGGGGAGAAATGACCCAAGCTTTGTATGCACATATGAATAATAAAAAAAAAAAAAAAAAAAAAGCTATGGTGGGGCCACAGTGGAGAAGTGGGGCTACTGGAGGTTCCTGGGGCCACTGAGCTCGGACAGCCCCTCTCTGAGCCTCTTCCTCTCTCCCCAGCCCCAGGCAGGACTTTGTGCAGGGCTCTTTCCTGGCAGCAGCTCACTCTGCACATGGTTTACTTCCATCTTCCATCTTCCATGCCTGTAAGACTCCGTGCAACCCTGGCCCTGCCTGCCCATCCATGAACCGCATCTCCTCCATCACTGTACTGTGGCCACTGAGCTGCTGCCGTGCCCATGCTTGTTAAGTGCCTTCTGTCCCCATGGCTTGGTCACAGCTGATCCTGGGCATCATCCAGGCCTTAGTCTAAATGCCACACCCTCCTGCCCCTCTGCAGGCTGGCCCCCTCCCACCCATTCTATCCTGCAGCTCCTCTGAAATGATGTGTCTTGTTTACTTGTAGACTGCCTCCCTGTCACCCAGAGCGGGTGAAAGGAGGATAGGGGTCTGCCTGGCTCTTCTGTTGCTGCAATCCCAGCAGCTGGAGGCACAAATGAAATGATGGTGAGTTTGGTGGATTTGTCCATCTACTCACAGCAGATGCTAGGCAGCACTCAGTAGGTGCCTAACAAGGGCTGCCTGGCAAATGCCCACGACTCCCATCTCCAGGCAGACAATGCTGCTCAACAGTCAGAGTGCTAATCCCAAGCTGCTCCGTTAGCTGCTCCTCAGAGCAACTGTAAGATTCTCCAAGAATAGTGCAGTCGCCCACCCTGCCTGCCACGGCTCTGCTTCCTGACAGTATTTGTGACTCAGACTTTTCATGGAGCCAGACTTGCCTCCCCAGAGGGTGCATGCAGGGGAACAAATGCCAGATACAGACAATGGCTGGAGGCGGCCCTTCATGGCGTAGTGGTAGGCACGGAATATAGGAGGCTATTCAGACCCCTTTTGATGGTGGAAGTTGGGGAGAGGCAAGGATGGCCCCCAGTGAGACCCAGCAATGCTTGCAGAGCATGTGTCACGGTTTCTGAGACAAATGCTACAACTGCAACGCTGGGTGCAGTCAGGGCAAGATGGAGGGAGGACAGCCCAGAGGGGCTGAGTCACTGATGAGGCCACACAGCAGGTCACACAGCCAGTCAAGGCAGATAGTACTAGAATCCACATTTCTTGGCTTAAAGCATTCTCTGGTAAGCAAGGGTCCAGGGTGTCTCGGGTCACCAATAATCAATTCTGAAGGGCCTGCACGGTCCCAGACAGTGTCTTTGGGGAAGTCAGGACAGGCACAACTTCACCTGAATTCTCACTGCAAGTGCTTAGGTCTTTACCACCAGACCTCCTAGGGCTTCCAGGAACACAATATGTCTGGAGAAGTTCCCAGGTAACTGACTCTTCTTTACAGAGCTATTAGCTTCCTTTCATCATCCCATAAAAATTTCCAGCTGATGATGGAGGCCATTACTTTCCAGGGAGGTAACAGAGGGAGGAAAAAAAAAACCTGGGAAGCTCCATGGCCACATGGGAAAGAAAGGAACAGAACTATCTGGGTTGCCTAGTTCATGTCACAGGTTGTGTACTGCCCAACTCTAAGAGGTGGCAATCTCATGGACTGCAATGCAAATGGTACTCCCTTGAGTTAGGCAGTGCAGGGAAAGGGCTCTGCCTGATTTGGGGCCATGTCTTCAATATTCCCAAGGTCCAAAGTAACAAAAGCAGCATGGTATTATCACAAAATCAGACATGAAGACCAATGGAACAGAATAAAAGACCCAGAAACAAAACCACACAACTGCAGCCACCTGATCTTTGACAAAGGAGTCAAAGACACACACTGGAGAAAAGACAGCCTCTTCAACAAATGGTGCTGAAAAAACTGGCTGTCTACATGCCAAAGACTAAACTAGACCCACATCTCTCACCCTGTACAAAAATCAACTCTAACTGGATCAAAGATCTTAATGTAAGACCTGAGACACTGGAACTACCACAGGAAAAAATGGGAAAATTCTGGAAGATACAGCCTAGGTAATTATTTTATGAGCAGGACTCCAGTTGCCCAGGAAGTAAGAGCAAGAACTGACAAATGGGACTGTATCAAATTAAAAAGTTTCTACATATCAAAAGAAAGTCACCCATAATCAAAAGACAATCCACAGAGTGAGAGATTTTCACCAGCTATTCAACAGATGAGGGATTAATAACCAGAATATACAGAGAACTCAAAAAACTAAACAGCAGAAGAACAAATAATCTGATTAATAAATGGCCAAATGAATTTAAGTTCAATTCTCAAAAGAAGAAATAAAAATGGCTATGAAGCAATGTTCACCATCCTTAGCCATAAAGGAAATGCAAATAAAAAAATAAAATACACTAAGATTCCATCTCACACCAGGCTGGCTGTCATCAAGAAAACAAATAAGGGGGATGAAGGAGAATGATGGAGAGGTGAATCTAATTAAGATACATTGTAAGCACAATGAAAACTCCCTGTACAACAAATATATGCTAATAAAAATTAAAAAAAGAAAACAAACAACAAATGCTGGTTAGGATAGCAGGGAAGGAACCCACATACACTGTGGTGGGGATATGAACTGGTGCTACCCCTATTTCCATAGTGAGTATGGGGTTCCTCAGAACACTAAAAACAGACCTCCCTTATGACCCAGACATCCCACTCTTGGGCATATAGCTGAAGAAAAGTAAATCAATACACAAGGGGAATAGCTGCACACCCATGTTTACTGCAGCTCTCTTCACAATAGTTAAACTGTGGAATCAGCCAAGGTGCCTGACAACTGATGAACAGATAAAGAAAACTGCCATAAATATACCATGGAGTATTACTCAGCTGTAAAGAAAAATGAAATTATGTCATTTGGAAGAAAATGGATGGAACTGGAGATTGTCATGCTGAGCAAGAAAAGCCAAGCTCAAATGGTCAAATATTAAATGTTCTCGCTCATTTGCAGAACCTGGAGCAACAATGATGATGATGGTGGTGGTAATGGACTGAATGTACATGGTGGACTATCTGAGGGGGGATCAGCGGGAGGGGAAGGGAAAAGGAAAGGATGCTGGGGGCAGTGAGGAGGATGAAAGTACACTGTATGTATACATATGGAGCAGCATAATGAAACCCACCAAACCCTGAAAGAGAGAAGAGGGAGAGGAGGGATGGGAATATACTGGAGGGATGGATTTACTTAAGGTACACTTTATGTATGGATGGGAATCCCCTTGTATTATTAATGTATGATAAATTTAAAAATACTCTCAAGTCCCACTCGTCACTGACAAGCCGTTGCTCGGTCTCAAGACCTGCTAATTGGTAACCTTCAGGCAGGAATAACTGACCAAGAGGGAGAAGTCACGGCAAAGAGATTGGCATCCACCTCTTGAGTTGTTCTAGGGGCTGAGCTGGAATCTATTCTAAGCCCAGGGCCCAAGAGAAGTATAGCTGTCTTTGGAGAGCTGACTCCCACTCATATGGACTCATTTTCTGGAACTCTGTATTAGATGAATGTTAGACTTTTTCCTTCTGGTGTCTTATCCTCTTTACAGCTTCCTTTTCTTTCCTGCATTGTATTCTTCATAATTTCTTCATATTTCACTTCCATGTACTAATCCTTTCTTTAGTCATGACTTGTCTCCTATTATAAAGTTCTGTTTGGTTCTTTTTCTTTTCTTTTTTGGCAGGACTGGAGTTTGAGCTCAGGGCTTCATGCTTCCAAAGCAGGTGCTCTACAGCTTGAGCCATGCCTCTAGTCCATTTTGCTCTGGTTATTTTGGAGATGGGGATCTTGAGAACTATTTCCCTGGGCTGATCTTGAACCACAATCTCCCAGTCTCAGTCTCCAAGTAGCTAGAATTACAGATGTGAGTCACTAGCACTTGGCTTGTTTGGTTCTTTTTCAAAATTGCTTCATCATTCTTTAGAGCTTTTTATTCCTGCTCGGATTTTCAACTTTGCCTTTTGTTGATTTGAATGCACCAAGCATAGCTCTCTTACTGGCTGTGCTTCAATGCTGCAGGATGTGAAGTTGCCCCAAGGGGTGGCTGTTTCTGTTCTAAGTTATCTGTGCTGGTCCTGGTCCATGGTGCTTGGTCTCCTCTTGCCCAGGTTTTTTTTTTTTTTTTTTTTTTGCAGTGCTGGTATCAAACACAGAGCTTTGTGCATGCTAGACAAGTGCTCTACCACTGAGTCACACCCTCAGTCCAGAAAATGCTCTGTGGAAAGATTTTTCTGTGGTAGTGATTTGCAGAAGTCCTTTGACACAAAGGCCTATTTTTCCAGATAGGCCTTATGCTTGATTTTTCAAATGCTTGGAGACTACCCATCTGGGATGACTCTAAATTCTAAGAAAGAGGTCATTTTGAACCTCCAGGTGGTATAAACTCACTATTCTCAGTCTACTCTGCTCTGCTCTACCTCCAGGATAGATATGAGGTATACTCCCTTCTTGGGATCACTGTCATCACGTACTGAGTGGCTTTAACCAACATAAATTTATTCTCTCACAGTTCTGGAGGCCAGAGGTCTAAAATCAAGGTGCCAGTAAAGTCAGTTCCTTCTGGAGGCTCTGAGGGACAATCTGTTCCTTGCCTCTCTAAGCTTCTGGTGTTTGCAGTAACCTTTGGTCTTTGGTTGGCAAGTGCACCGTTCTGATCTCTGCGTGTTGTCACATGCATTCTCTCGGTGTCTCTGTCTGTATGTCTGCATATGGCCTTCTTATAAGGACAACTATCAGTGAATTTAGGTGTCCTTTGGACTTAAAAGATATGGCCAACTGGAACCTCACCTGTGAAAGACACCCACAGAAGGTATGTAGGAAGGGCAGCAAAGCAGCAGCCAGGTGTCATCCATAGTCTATTCTATGATGCAAACAATCTTAATTTTGAACAGCTTGACCATTAAAACAAGTCAATGAATTAGATGAAATATCTTCTAATACTGAATTTTCCATTTGTGAGCTAATCCTATTTAGTCACAGATATTATTCTTGTATTTTTAGTCTTACTGTCTCTAAATAACTGATTTTAGGGCTAGAGATTTTCCTTCCATAGTACTGATTTGGCTCCATCCCATAGGTTTTTATATCCATTTCCACTTACTGCCATGAAACACTGTAGTTTAAATTTTTCACTCTACCTCCTGGGATTCCTTATGACTTCTGTTCCACTAAAGGCATCTCTTTGGCTGCATGGGCATGCCCATGCCCATATGGGCTTTTCATACTATTTGTTCTGGAATATTAAGGGATTTGGAACAGGAAGAGAAGGTGGTGGCAAGTCCTTGAACTGCAACCATGATCTCACCCTGCTTAAACTTCTAAGAGACCTTTTTTTTTAACTTGGGGTCAAAGAGAGAAAGTGGGTCAGTTCCTCACTGTGGCCAAGGCCAGAAAACTGTCAGCAGCCAGGTCCTTCTCCACGGAGCCAGTCCAGGACGACCCTGGGTACCCATCATTGTAGAGGCTGGCTACACCCCTGCAGTGACAGGAGTACTCCAATTAGGTTCCCTTTTCGCCTGAGCTGGCTCAAATGGATTTCTGTTACTCACAGCCAGAAATGTCCTGACTAATCATAGGCTGATACATCTGCCTTTGACCTTCTGCATGCTACCTACTTGTTCAGCAAACCCTTTCCTCCTCACAGGCAGAAAGGCACATTTTCCTCTACCCCAAGGTCAAAAAATGATTAAAAACCCCCAAGCGATTATGTGATTTGTCCCTGTATAGTCATTCTGAACTCCTGCAGTTGGTCTTGGAGTCCAGTAAGATTCTGGTCCTGGGTGGGGTGAAGGGTATGTGCAGGGAAACCTGATATCCATGTTCTGGAAATGTGTCACCATTCACGAATGTTGGCACTTTCTGTGACTCTGGGAAGGTGTTCCAGGCCCATGTGCATGGACCTAGAACCATCTCAAAGGAGTCTTCCATCCAGGAGGGCAGCAAAGGTCACCAACCTCAGCCTACTCACTGTGCACACAGCACCTCGAGGGCTGGGTGCTTAATAGATACAATACTTGGGACTAAAATAAAACCCAGCTTGGTGACATCTTGATGCAGCTTTGTAGGAACAGCAGGCTCCTGTGTACGCATGGTTTCCCTCTGTATGCCTATTTGTAAATTAATCACACATCAGTAGACTTGGATCCAATTCACATTCCTGGACCACTTTGAGGGTAGATCAAGCTGTGGGACCCTCTGTTCAACTTCCAAGCCAGAGCCTTTCAATAGATCCCATGAGTCTCCTTCCTGCCAGGCTCTCTCCAGCCACCCTGCTTTTGTCTCCCCAGCAGAAGCACTCGGGGTGGGGGAACAGCAGCTCCCCAGTAACAAGAGTGTCCCCAATATACTAATATGATAGTTTTAAGACACACACGTGCTTGCAAGATTTGAGTGAAAGCAAAATGAAAAGAAACAGAGAGAAGGTAGTTAGAGTGGCGCCTTTTCATTATGTGTTTACACTTTGCCAGTTGTTGTCTGTGCATCTTCTCCCTGGGGTTTTTTCATGTGGCACTAACCTCACTGTGGCTCCTGGATCACTGAGGCGTCCCTGAGTCATCTCTGAGGGTCTGGCCCCAGAGGTCAAGGTGGTAACAGTGAGTCAGCACTGTGGGTCAGGGGAAAGGATGTTAAGCCAAGCAGACTCCTCAGGGCCAGACATGACCCTGGCCTCAGTTTACTGACCTGGGAAGAAGATAACACCTGAACTTAGCCAAGTTTTCAGGCAATAGTGCTGGGGGAGTGCAAGCTGACGTCTCATCTGCGTGTCTAGGGGAGACAAATTCCTTTGCTATCTAGAGGTGCCTCACAGTGTTCTGTGCCAGACTCTTACCCTGAAGAGCCACTTAAGCAGATAGGTGTGAGGACAGTGCCACCCGGGTGGCTCACCTCGGCCCGACTTCATGGGCCCAAGTCAGGTTCTCTGCCAGCAGTTTCTGCCACCTCCAGGAGGCCAGGACCAGGTGCTTCTCCTTCTGAAAGACTCAAGATGAGAAACAGCTGAATTGCCCCCTCTTTCAGAAAGTCCTCCTGGATTAATGAAGAAGGGCTCTCCTTTCCCTGAGTGACACTGGACAGTGTTCTGTTCTCCCCTGGGGAGCCCTGGGCCAAGGGCTGTGGTGACCTTGGGGTCTGGCTCTCCTGCATTCAGTGTCATTGGGGTCCATACAAAGGATTTTAATGAGGATGTGGTGAGCAGAGAGGATAGGAAATACTGTGGTTTTCCCTGAAGGACTTTGGAATCCAGCAGTTGATGGTTCACTGAGTTCCATCCTGGTCTTATGTGGGGACCAGGAAGGTAAGGACTAGGAGCCTGGTCCCCCTCACTGCTGGTCATTGGCCAGGTCAGAGCTTGGAAGTCTTGGATCCCAAGCACATCAAGTGTGTGTGGCAACTCCTTCCCAAAAAAGAACCTGGAAGAACAGGGGAAGGTGTGTTCCTAAAAGTGCAGTCCCACCAGTGTACCAGTGCCCTGGACAGACTGTCTGAACCCAGCCTGAGGTAATGGGATGTGACTGCAAAGGGCTATTTGTGCTGCCCCAGACAATAGCTTCCAGCCTCTGATGCTGAATACCTAGGCAGGCCCCTAGGTATGCTGGGACATACTGGGCCAGTATATTGGTGGTGAGAGCTCAACTGAGCTAATGTTGCCCCATACTGAAGGCCTACATCCACCTTAACTGAGGAGCAGCCCGGGCTTTAGATTGTGGAAAAGGAGAAGGGAGAGAAAGCAGGACCTGCTGGTCCTGAATTATTAACCATGGAGGAGGAGAAGCAGGCAGGTCTATGAGTGGGCTGAGGAGAATACTAGGCAGGGACTGGGGCTCTCTGGTGTAGAGTTGAGAAGTACGTGGTTCCGGCACTTTGGGAACCACTTCTGAACACTGCTGGGTGTGTCCTCCTCTCAGGGCTGCTCACATATGGCCTTCATTCCCTGACCTTTTTCTCTTCTAAGAACCAGCATTCCTCATTCCTACTTTTTGGGCATCTTGCAGAAGGGTAAAATCCCAGGGGAAGGCACGGCTGGACAGAGGTCAGCATTCTGGGTAAGGAGAGGACTAGGCACAGAGAAGACTAACGGTCTTTTCCAGGTGTTGAGAGAAAAGGGGCTCACAGGCTTTCCCAGGGATGGTCTGGGGAAGACAGAATAGGCCAGCTACCTTCTGTATTCACCACCCAGGCACACATCCACTCACGCCTTGTTCTAGGGAACACGGCACAGCTAGGGATAGAGCCCAGAGTCCCTACCTCTCAACCCAAAGCTCTCCTGATGGGGCCATGGCTAATTTGTTCAAGTTCCCAGTAGCTCTGAGAAACTTTCTGATCCAATAAGGGACAGACCCTGCTAGTGAAATGGGGGGATGGTATTAGGGTTCATGATGGGGTGAAGCCTATACCCAGCCCTGCTCTGAGGCCAGGCCTCATTCACAGCTGAGTGCAGCTGGCTCCACTCTGCAGATAAGGAAACTCTAGAGAGTTTGCCCACCACCCAAGGATTGGAGTGAGGGCAGCCATGATTAGTCCAGGGCTCTCTGCACACCACGATCAAGCTCTCTCACTGCACAATGGCAACACAGGTCATGAGTAGCTGAGGCAGTGTGGGAGACAGGTGCCCCGGAGAATGGGCAGGGGTCCTTGGGTGGTCATGGGATGATAAGTGTCAAAAAAGGCAGATGAGAAAGAACCTGGACACTAAGAGTATGAAAGCCTAGAACATCTGGGCCTGCCAAAGCTCCTGTATCCAAGGGGGTTTTTGAAGGCCGTGGGTGGAGGTGCCTGCCAGCAGAGTCCCCAAGAATAGCTAATAGATAGGATCCGGACAGTGAGGACCTCTCACTGTGTGCTGGTAGCTTCAGATAGTGCTGGGGAAAGACCCAAGAGCTGGAGCAGCCACAAGGGCTATGCTGCTGAGAACAGTCACATTGGGGTGCAGAGGGGCACAGGTGCTTCTACAAAAGGAACTCTCTGTGGACTAGAGGTGTGGCTCAAGCAGTAGAGCACCAGCTTTGCAAGCATGAAGCCCTGAGTTCAAACCCCAGTCCCATCAAAAAAAAAAAAAAAAAAAAGAAAGAAAGAAAGAAAAAGGGACTCTCTGAGAACTATAAACTACAGGCAGGCAGGGAGGTGGTGAGTGGTGAGTCCTCAGGGATGCCTTGCTGTAGTCATAGCTGGATCCCCTGCTTCAATGGAGGCAGGCCTGGGCTGTGCCTGCTCCCCTCCCTCCACTTGGATCTGGGTCCCCAGATGCTTGCTCCTTCCCAATCCCTATGTGCTTTGGCTGCACATCCAATGAAACAAGTTGTCCTGTCCCCAGACTTCCCAGAGGTAGCAGGATAGAAAACAGTTTGGCCCTTCTCACTTCTCTGTACTTAAGAGAGGTTATCAAAGACATGGAGCCTCAGTTTACTCATCTGTAAAGGGGGTGATAATTTAGCCAGTGAGGGGTCTAATATAAGTGGGAAGAGCATCCACATGGGGTTTGGCCACAAAGATGTGTTTAGTCACTCAAGTAATATTAAAGACATCTAACCGCTGGGCACTCTGGTGGATGCTGTGGGGCCAGGCCCCTCTGGCATTACCCCTTTAGCTCCAGGAATCCCAGGGGAGGGACACTGGAGGGGAGACAGAAGTTGTTACAACCAGCAAAAAAAGCACAGAGCGCTTTGCTCTAGGGGCCAGATGCAAGTAGGATTTCAGAATTTCCTGCACGTCAAACAGGTAGTACTGCATATTTCAGCAGGGCCAGTAATCAAATACACCGAAAATTCTACAGTGAATACGTGAGTACAGAATACATAAAGGGTATAAATAGCTTCACTTGGACTATAAATAGCCTCACCTCAGTTAAGAAGGACTTTGCTGCCAAATGAGCTATGACGAAGCGCTTGGTTTTAGAGCTTGCTGGATTCTGGAGTTGAGAGTAAGGACTTGTGGGTGTGCATGTCAATGTCCTCACCACATGCTGTGAGCCAACTGTACATCATCCCTGCTTCATCCCACAACCCACATGGTCCAGGGCAGGGTTACATGTGCCTTGCTCTAAAACTCACCAGGCTCTCTGACCTTGGAGGACACAGGCTAAGGACATTAATCACATACAAAACCAAACGCACAAATAGCAATGCCTAAAATAGAACCACCTCAGCCACGTGCATGGAGGTAAACAGGGACAGGGAGCCCAGTTCTGGGGAAGCACCCAGTGGCTACAGACCCCTGCTCAGGCTAAGCCCTGCCTCCCTGCACTGACAAGAGCCAGGTGAGGATCAAGACTAGAGCTCAGTGGGTGAGAACTTCCCAGTCTCTGCACGTGCAGTAGGGCAGGACTGCCAAGCAGGGGGTTCTGATCCTGGTGCTGCTGCTCATGAGCGGTAACTGACCTGGCTGAACCGCATTTCTTCACCAGAAAAGTCTGCACCACAGGTCTTACAGGATGTTGGGGGGACATGAGGGCGCCCCTAGGGCTTGGTCCACAGTTGGTAGTTGAGAAAGGCCTGCTGGTTATGCTGTAAAGTTTCTTAAATGTGTAACACAAAAACCAGGGGCTTAAATGGGTTGCCCCCTCAGTCCCAGAAATGCTTCCACATGTCCTGGGGCTCTGTTTCAAGCCCCAGACAGTTCCCCTGTCTGAATGTAGATGGAACCTTCTGGATGCTCCTCTGAGAGGCCAGGTTCAAGATCTGCAGGGAAGAACCTGAAGCAAGGCAGTATTCTCCCAGAGGTGGGGCACAATGTCAGCAACAGAACACAAGGTGTGAAGTCAGGATGGGGGTTCTGCTTACAGTTCTACCCCTCATCTGGTCCCAAGCAAGTTACTTAGACTCTAAGCCTCAGTTCTATGTTTATAAAACCAGGTCCAAATCACGGACATCTCCTAGGGGAAGAGTGAGGGGTAATAAGTTAAGAGACAGTGGCGAGACACTGGTGGCTCACACCTACAATCCTAGCTACTCAGGAGGCAGAGATCAGGAGACTCATGGTTCAAAACCAGCCCGGGCAAATAGTTCATAAAACTCTATCTTGAAAAATCCCTTCACAAAAAGAACTGGTGGAGTGGCTCAAGGTGAAGGCCCTGAGTTCAAACCCCAATACTGCTCCCCCCACAAAAAAAAAGAAAGGGAGAGACAATGAATGTAAACCACGTCACACAATATTCAGGAAATGGCAGTGGTTGCCATGATGACAATGATGGGAACAGTCCTATTAATGGAGGGCTTCCCTTAATCTGTGACCTCACACTCAAAACAATCAAGATTAGAAATGACCCTGGTATTACTACTTCATCACTGCATCATCACCAACCTTCCCAGCAGCCATTGAGACCTCCACCCTGCTGCCTCACTCACCAATGCCGCAAGTAGGTGGGTAGGTGCCCACTCCCTACTTCAAATTAGAAAACTGAAGCCAGGAGAGTGACAGGGACTTGGTCAAGGTCATCAAGTAAATCAGTAACAGGGAGCAGGTAAGAATACCTGAACTTGCGCCCAAGGTGATACCAAATCCATCTTAACCAGCACCCTAAAGGCAGTGGCCACAGCAACCTCTGGCACACGGGGGCACAAGTATGTGGAGAAGCGTTGGGTGGCCTGGCCTGAGGGAGGGCTTGGGGCAGAGGAGCAGCAAGAAGGAGAGGGGGTGGCCAGGGTATGGGGAACTGAGTCATCTTCCAACTGGTCCAAGCCCATCGCACACAGTCTGGCTCCTCTATCTTTGGCTGGGAGCCGGAGACTATTCTGGGAAGCTCTGCACACAGCCTGCCACTTCCCTGCCAGGCTGACTGGGTCAAAAACAAAACCAGCTCAGCAACAGCCCTGTGTTAACAGGGTGGGAGGTGAGGAGGCGCTGAACAGCCCTGAACAGAACAGCAGGAATGGGGAAAGTTGGAGGAGGTGAGGGGAGAGCATGATCACCCCCACCCTGCAAAAGTGCAGTGGGGCAAAAACAAACAAACCAAGTTAGAGGCAACAAGACACAGTGGGAAAGACTAAGATCAGACAGACCTAAGTTCTGATGCAAGCTTTGTCTTTAACTCATTTAACTGCTCTGGGCCTCAGTTTACCCATTTGTAGGGCTAGCATCCACTTCACTGGGTAAAGGAATTCATATTGTTGGAAGGTCACAGTGGACACTAGGCATATGACCAAAGGGTAACTAATGCCTACTGTCTGCCTTGGACCACCATATTCTACTTAACCCTCAAAGCCCTGGCTCAGGACCACCTTTGCTAGGTAGCCCACCTACAATCCTATCCTGCAGGCATGGGCCACCCACAGCAGCTAAAGCCACTGGATGGTAGAATGAGGTACTTGTCTATCTATCCTTGTGTGACCACCGTGCTGAGGCCAGAGTAGCTGCCCAAGCAATCTATGAACTCAGGCCCAAAGGGCCACCCAGAAAGCTCTCTGAAGAGCATCCAAGAAACCAGAAGGGAGCACAGAGTCTCGACCCCCAGCATCATTGTTATGGGGAAAGCAGCAGGGCTCAGTTGGTCACTAGCTGCAACATGTCCTGGGCCATCTTGTCCCAGGGACAAAGCACAGTGCCCTGCCTACAGCAAGTGTCCACAAATACCTGTGAATGACCAAATGGAAGGAGGGCTGGCAGCAGAGGCAAAGGAGCAAGGATGGGAATGACCACTGACGGAACATTTTGGAGGTGCCACGCTCTGTGTGAGGAGCTAACATATGGGTCTCAGATGATTGTCTTTTTGACAGATGAAAGAGCTGAGAAGGGAAGGGACATTCCAGCTCTTGGAAAGTGGAGACAGGAGGATTGAGGTTGAAGCCCAGTCCTGGGAAAAAGACCCTATTTGAAAAAAACACACTAAAAGCAAAAAGAGCCAGGTATGAGACTCCATATCCAAAATAACCAGAGCAAAATGGACTGGAGGTATGGCTCAAGTGGTAGAACACCTGCTTCACAAGAGCAAAGCCCTGAGATCAAACTCCAGATCTACCAAAAAAAAAAAAAGCAAAAAGGACTGCGTGCGTGGCTCCAGTAGTAGAGTACTTGCCACTTGCCTAGGAAGCTTATGGCCCTGAGTGCAAACCCCAGAACCACCAAAATACTGAGGGAACACACCCAAAGTCATTCAGCAGGGGCTATGGTTCTCAACATGCTGTCTCCTGAATGAGAAACAGGGCCCTGGGGCAGAAAAGGCCACCAGAGGATAAGAAAGACAGGGCTCTCAGCAAAGAGCATCTTTACACTGGGGCCTGGGGCTATTTATAAATTGAGAGGTGCTTGGAGCATGCATTGGGGATTTGAGTAACCCTGCTAGACCCTTGGCCCTGGACTTTTCTCACTTGACTCTCAGGAAGTCCCACAGTTGAATTGGCAAATAGCCAAAGCTGGAAGCAACCCAAGTGTCCACTAATGAATGAACTGACGAGCAAAATGAGGTCCATCCCTGCAATGGAGTGTGATTCAGCCTTTAAAAGGAAGGATATTCTGATTCCAGCTGCAACATGGAGGAGGCTTCTGGACATGATGCTAAGTGAAAGAATAGAAACTAACAGAAGAACAAACACTGTTAAGAGTCCACCTATCCGACGCATTTATAGTAGTCAAACTCAGAGACACAGAGAGTGGTGTGGTGGATGCCAGAGGCTACAAAGTGGGACAAATGAGTAGAGTTTAACGGGATAGAGCTTTAGCTTGGGAAGATGAAAAAGTTCTAGAGATGGATGGTGGTGAAGGTTTCCTAACACTGAGAATGTGTGTTCATTAAAATGCCACTGAACTGTGCACTTAAAAATGGTTAAGATGGTAAATTTTGTTTTATATATATATAACATAAAAAAAAAGACAGAAAAAGAGTCCCTAGATTGAATAGAGTCTTCTGTTGGAAAGGTGCAAGTTCTGGAACTAGATAGAGGGATGCTTGCACAGCCTTGCCACTGTCCCAAATGCCACTGAACTGTCCACTGTGAGATGATTAATTTCATGTTATATGAATCCCACCTCCATATAAAACATTGAGAAAGGCCCTGGTGTGAGGTAGCAGCTCCAGCCACCAGGTACCCAGACTAGCCTGG